GACCGAGCCAAATCGTCCGTCCGCAGGAAGGAGCGATCATCTCCCCCAGCACAGCCGGTGACCTGCATCCACGATTACCCAAGGATGATGTTCCTTATCATGTCCAAAATCAACTGAGGTGGAAAATATTTTTACTGTCTGTGGACTGGGTCCCTGGTTTCTCCCAGTTCTGGTGCAGAAGGTTGATCCGGAGCTCTTTGCCGCCTGGGAGAAAAAAGCTCGGGAACCAATGAAAGAATCGAGAAGAGCTATTTACCGCCAGTTTTTAGGCATCCTCTCGGATAACCATTCCACAAGCCATGTCTGTTTCCTGCAACTGAAAGGCGCAACTGTTCAAGTCTTAGGAGAGATAAAAAATATGGTGCACCGCTGCTGGCAAGGTGGAGGAAGAGAGTTTACCCTTCGGTGGAGGTTGGCGTTCTCCTCTTGGAGCTCCTTTTGCTGTAACAGTAAGGAATGCCAAGTGAATATGACATGATTTGATAGAAAGCCTTAAAGCTTATACCTCAGGGCTAATTAAATCATAGGACAGTGACCACGGCACTGGAGATTGAATGGATGGGCTTATTCTTCCTCTGTGTACCATGGGTGAAACTTCTATTGATTACTTGAGAAATAGCTTACTAGTAATTGTCAGTGGTCTTAGCTCAGTATCCAATCAAAGACTCCCAGAAGTATTGGACATTTGTCATCAGAGATTAGCCTTGAACATTTCGCGTGCTCTATGTTCCGATCAAACTAACAGTACCTTAATCCTGATAGTATACGTTACCGGAGGATATCTGGAGATTCAAAGGGCTTCTAGAGAAGCTTCTATCAGCTAATGCTCACCTTCTTCTTCAAGGAACTGATGTGCTCGGAGATGATCTTCCTCTGCAAGGGAGAGCGTGATATGAGGGCGAATTTTTCCAAATGAGTATAGAAATAGACCCAACGTCCTGAAGAGGATGAGAAAATCGACGGTAGAGTTTGAAGCAGTGTAGAAATCATTTTATCAGATATGAACTGTGAAAACGGATCCACCATTCATTTTAGAGAAAATGGTTTCAACACTGCTTCAAGATCTGCCTTTTATGTCTTGGAAAATGGATCGATCCTTATTGTAATGCCACCCCAGCAGATCAACAAGTCGCGGATGAGACTCTTTACCTTTCTAGAACGGATCCGATCCAATCCGATTTTCATCTGCCGCTCCAGCTGTTTCACTTCTCGGATGCCCAGTGAGAGAAGTTCTTCTCCTGAAAAGTGCCTGCGTAATGGAACAGTAAGCAGTTGCACTCGACGGAGCTTACCAGTCGACCGAAAACGCTACGCCGTCCAAAAACGAAGAGCTCCCTATTTCCCCAAAATCGACGACTCCTATCAACGTTATGCAGAGAAGATAGGGTTGCGTTCCTTGAAGGAATTCTATCAATGGGAGTGAAAGAGAGGAAGACAGTTTCGTGACTTGTTGGTGTTCTTCATCGGCTCCCCTGCATGGTTCTTCATTCTCCTCATCTCAAACGGCTGAGTTAAAGTGTTCTAAATGATCTTTACCTCAGTCCATCGGCAACATCAACATTAGATACTGATGGCAAGGCTGCTCCTTAACTCGACCGAATATCTTCTGGAATGCCTCCATTACAACGGCTACACAAGCGGCACGGAGCACTCTTGCAAATGTATGGCTTGAAGCTCATCTTCTTGTTCAATTGGCGTCACATCAATATGGAACTCTGGATATAAAGTTGGCAATGGAACTCAACATTGACCAAGAAATGAATAAAGTGGATGCCTCCTCAGGACACGGTGATGCTTTCTAACAAGCCATGACAATTTCTTTATAAAACAACCTGACATTTCCACCTGATTTAAAACCTATGGTGCATTCGTGTCATAACAAAATGAATAATCTTTAGATTCACTTATAAAGATAGTGCTTTATGATTGTTTGGGTAGAGTCACAAATTTGGAAATATTTCACTTCCACACATGTCTCATCATAGACTTCATCATATTCGTGAGCTCTCTATCTTCAACTCTGCATGCTGAATACGTAGACCCTAGTTGGGATGGTTTGTTACTTTCTTAAAATCTCAGTTGGTCTGATATATTGTGTGATATTGTCTGTCACCACTTTTGAATTCATGTAGCCTCCAGTGTTGTTCTTTTTTTATTATTTGGAATTATAACAAAAAATCCTAAATGACTCTTATTTCAATTTTAAAATAACTTTCAATTATATCAAAGTTATTGGAATGATAAAAAAAAATCCAGAGTGGACATATTGTAATTGGAATGACAAAAAAATCGACCTATGTCTTTACTTTTGTTTTCATTACATCATCATTGACTTCACATTATCTCTAGACTTCTCACGTTTAAGAAATTAGACAAAGTTGCTTTTATTGTGATTTTATATCTTCAAAGGTGATTGTGCGACTATGATGTGAGGTATAATGCATATCATACATACTAAAATCTTTGTAAACAACTTGAGAATTATTCATTGATTAGAGATGAGTCATTCAGGTCATAGTTACAAAATATATGATACATTGATAATGGCATTGTCTTAATTCCAAGATCATAATCGACATAGCAAGACAGTCTCCATTTCAGAATTCAATTTTTAAACCAATGCATTTAAATTCATGAGCAAAGAGATATTCAGTGTTAATGGGGGAAAAGGGGTCATTTGCACACTTGTTCCTTTCTTCCTTTATAGTTTCTTCCATTTTTCCTTTTCTCACACTCAATTTAGATTGTCTTATGGCTGCCCTCACATGTACATAAACATCAAATTAGAAGGTGTACTGAGTTATGATTCTCATCATGCTTACTATTCCTCTTATTCTTGTATATGGACTGGCCCCCTGGATTACGATATTTGCATGAAAAACCCATAAAAGTAACACAGTCAAACTGCCGCACCTCTAAACAAGTATGGTTAGTGTTTGTGCTTTTAGAACAAACATGAAACTTTACTATTAAAGAATAATGCCCTAAATCCAAAAATAAATAAATTGGGATTGAAACAATATTGATAAATTTATTTTACCTATTAACTTTTCAGGATTTTAAAGGAATAACATATTTTAATGACAGTTTTTCCTACTACCTTTAGTGATCATTAGAGTTCACATGCTAACATGTGATACACGACATGACAATTAAATGCTTAAGGTATGAGAAGACGAAGAATACATATAAAGATCATGAAATGAAAGATAGTCCCTGGAACGTGAAATTTTCGTCACAACTGAAAGCACAATACGTCACTACATTCCGTAGTGTGTTGCTCTAGCAACGTACCAGTTTCCATACTAAGTAGACGGTTCCATAGTGCTCTAAAGATATGGATGGTAGAACATAATAATATACTTTTCAAGCTTACTTTTGTCGGGCTTCCAGCGATTCTACCAGTTTTTTTAGCTTGTCAATCTCTGTCCTCCAATACTGAAAAAGAAAAATCAGCGAGTTAGCTTTTTATATTAGTTATAAATATTTTACGCTGAAGTATTTAATCTTACTAACACTGAAAACAGACGTGGATTCATGCACTCGTAAATAATATCAACGTGTACGAACTGCCAGAAAAAAAATCAAGCTGGCATTGTTAATGAAAGACGAGGCCAATGTAATGAAACGATGTACGGTGATCAATCACGATCAATAGTTCACTCTATTAATTATTTTTTTCCGAAAAAGAAAAGAAAATGGGAAGGACAAGGACTTGCTGTTATTTATTATGAACGATAAAATTTCAAAGCAACTTATTATCCTAATAATTTATTTATTTTTATAATCTGCTAGTGTTATCTCTCTGATAATGAATGGACAAAAGAACCGGTTCAGATAATCGACTAAATCTCAGGATCAGTCCCTTTAACCATCAGAGGAAGATTGATTAGACTTAAATGTCGACAATCCAATGTATCTCTGGTCTGATGTAGTCTCATTAGCTTCATGGAGAATGTCATACATCTCGTTCCAGATAATAACATGCCATGATCATGTATATTCACAGAATCTTTCTAAGATACACAGCTTTACGAAATAGGTCACGCGAAAATGGTGGATCTTTGATCCGGCAAATAGTGTTGTCCTTTCACTGTCCATCGCTTTCGTTTCCTCGGTCTCAAATCTCTTCCTTAACCTTTCAGTTTTTAGAACTCTCGAGAGGAAGGGAAGATTAAATAGACGGGAGACTGCTTCAGAGAGATTGACATCACAGAGAGTTAACAAGGCTTTAATCGCCAGGTAAATGAGGACTCAGGACGCCAGAACAAAGCTCCGAGAATATCTGAGCACGAAAACGAGATAAGCTACTATAGTTTCACCTCTCTCTCTCTCTCTCTCTCTCAGACACACACACACGTTTTCTCAGTGATGTTACCCACACAAACATATATCTCAGTGTTTCTTGCACACTCACCCACTCGTTTCAGGTCATAATATCAGTAACGAACGATGACATAAATAAACTGCGAAGCAAATATTACCTCCGCTGTTCTGGTCTGTGGACAGTTCAGATGCTCCGTTCCTATTGTCTCCCGGTACCTGGAGATAATATTGCCCATGCTGTTCAAATTAAACAGACGTTAGGCCATAAAAAATGATGGGCTTCAAATGATGATGAAGTTGCAGGCTTCCTCATCCATGAAGCTCAAATCTCTCTCTCTCTCTCTCTCTCTCTCTCTCTCTCTCTCTCTCTCTCCTCTCTCTCGCTCGCACGCTCGCTTGCTATCTATCTATCTACTTCTCTATCTATGTGTATGTGTTTCCATCTATATGTCAAGATATTTCATATGCGCGATTACAGCTAATCCAAAAGGATAGAACGTTAAGTCGAAAGAGGTAGAAAAACTTAAATGGTCGGATCTATAACTTAGATTGAAAAGGAAATCAAGAGTACATTGAAAGAATACCTTCGTGCATACGTGGTACGACAAAAAATATAAATGGTTAGATAACATATAAGCATACTCACATATGTATAATTATATACATATATATGTTTAGATGGATAAATATGCGGATGGATGTATCGGCAGAGACATATGTAGATCGAGGGAAGGAGGGAGAAAGAGAGAGAGAAGTGAAGAATCTGGAGATGTTAAACCAGGGTTTGACATGTTTACTGACTCGTGGCTCGAGTATTGGTACAACTTGCCGGTGGCGGAGAAGATGAGAAGCCCCACCTCCACCTCGCACAGGATAGAGAGCTCGCAGGCCTTTTTCAGCAGACCATTCCGGCGCTTAGAGAAGGTGATCTGTCTGTTGGTAGTGTTCTCAATCCTCTTCAGCTGCACCTTCCCCCTACCCATGTCACAGCCTCTGCCTGCCCTCGAAGAAGTTAGGAGGAACGGATGGAGGTGGGACGGACGATGGGCAGAGATAATAAAGCTTAGAAGTGTTTCCTTTCTATGTATAACCAGCGATGGTAAACGAAGAGGGATGGAGATTCCCCTTCATGAAACCTCCTCCAGCGATAACAGAACAAGCGCGGTGGCTTTCACAGTCAGACAAAGGTGACAAGAGTGACGCAACGGCACTAGGGCCCTCGGGGACCATGCCCGTCTCTCCCACACTTGGAAACAATGTTAGATCCCTCTTCTTCTTCACTCCTCACTCTTGTAGCCTAGAACAGTGAATAACGGTGGCACACCGTCAGTCATACGATGCCCATCCGACGGCCTCTGAGAAGAGACGTGGGACCCTTTCGCTGCCGCGAGGTGTTGTTTTCTCCTCACAGTGGGGGGGGGGGTGTAAAAGCAGCGCCTTTTTCCTGTCTATACGAGGGAGATGTGCTTCCCTGTCAACATGGAGACCCACGCGTGGGGAAGACAGTGATGGTCAGACCTGGCCAGGTTACTACTGATCAAGAACCCACAGGTCAATAACTGCTCTACCGATGCCAAAATACAGAAATGGCCTTATCATTGGTCACCACGCATCATTAAATGGCACGAACTTCATGGTTCTTATCGACAGACGCACGGCCTCCCGCAGCCCTGTGGAAGACGTTGGAACGAAAACCCTGTGTGTATCATTATTCCCATGGAACAAGACCAGTTGGAACGAGAAACGATCACTAATTGCATGATGGGCACAAACATCTGAAATAATTTTATGCCTTCGAATAGTGGGAAAGTGACGCTGTACTATCAGTCTAATAGTCATGGAAAAAAAATTAAGTCAGTCAGGTCGCTTCAGATTGTATGCTATGATGCAGAAACCAATTTTATAACTGTTAAGCTGTAGTTTCATGTAGGTTCACAATAGAGCATCCGGTTGGAAAAGTATGCCCTTCTCGTAAGAGGGTCTGTTTCGGTTCTACTTAATAGATCGAATTCATCGTCCTTGAATTTGAATGTTAATCGCAAATAATATCTGTTTTTAGATAGAAACTTTTCATTTCAGTAAGAAAAATTGTCTGCTACATTTCTAGCCAAAGGCAAAGCAATTTCTCCATTGATAATGGTTTTGACATCCTCCAAACCCAGGAAAGCTAGTACCGACCGCCGGTTCCTCCGGCGACGGATCATGGCCGATTCTCCGAATCGTTCGAACGACCCTCCTAGTACGGGGTGACGCGATGGGGCACCAATGCCGAGTACAGGCCTCTTCATTGGATAAGCTCGTATGCATGGACTGAGGCTAAAGAGGGAGGGAGGTACGGAGGGAGCTTCTCGCTTTGGTCAGCCCTAGAGAGAACTAGCGGGTCCAGGTCGTCCTCTTCAGCGACGAGATCCGCACTGTTGCAGGGTCGGGAAATCCTCGTCTGTATGAATACCATCTGGCTGAAAAAGGCCACTCCTTTTCTTTCTCGGGATAGTGGGACTTGATGAGCATCCCAAACCCCGCCGACTAATCCATGAAGAATATTGGGAGAGAAGAGTTGGGTCGCTGAGACGTGACTTCTTCCAGCTCGAGATCGATTCTCCCTTCACATGCATGGAAGCGTGTATTTAGAATCATTCCGACCGGTAAATTGTTTATTAATAAAAATCTCACCCGATACTTATATTAAAAATTGTATCAAATATCAGTATGACTTCTGGCAATATAAATATATGATTTCGCCATCATTGAACATAGATGTGATTGAATCTGATTTCCATTATTAGATGCCTTCAAGATCTGCTTGGAGTTGACAAGTCAGATTAGGCTGGGTTTTCGACCAACTTAGGCCACCAACTTCGAAGAGAAACTCTCGTCAATATATAAGAAAAATGATATCATGATAATTTTAGTTATCAAGTTCTCCAATTAATTTAGAAATAATTAAAGAAAGAATTAACATATAGCTTTTGAATTTGATAAAAAAAAATAACATAAACGAATTATTTTCTCAAGTAACAAACCAAAGGGGTAATAAAATCATCTCTTCTTACTCTCCTAGGTTGAAATTCAAACTAACTTAATCTAACCTACAAACAGCTCATTGAAACTTCCTTTGCTTGAGAGTTCAAGTTGATGAAATTATTGAGATATGTGAAGGAAGGGGGTGAATTGAAGTTTCTAGTATTTTTACTGATTTTTCAATTTAAGTCAAACATGTTTATGTGTCAATAGATGTGTCAACACATGTGTTATAGGAAAATCACTCAGCACTCTCTCACCAAGAACATGAAACTTTTTATATGGATTTGTTCCTTACCTAGCTACTTCTAATCCTAAATGGAACTTCCCTCTAGTCTTCACTTATTCTCTTTAGAAAAACACATTGATATTTATGAAATTAGCCACCAAAACAACTCAAGTTTGTCCTCTTAGAGACACATCCTCTCTCAAGCCAAATATAAATTGCAACACCCCATGACTTCACCAAAAATACTCTCCTCTCACTAAAAGATTACCTTATGGTCTGATGGAGGATAAAACTTGTCATGGTTCAATTGATTATTTACCATAATCAACTGATGAATAAGATACAACCTTTTTTTTCATTGTTGATGCATGAGGCAAGAAAAGCTTCATTGTGGGCATTGAATATTCATGTGTTCAATCAGTTTTCAATTCAGAACTCTTCTCCTATAAGCCTTAGTCTTGTACTGATTTCTCTATTTTATCGGGTCTACAATATTCAAAAACTCTGTTAAAAAACTTATCATTTTCTGGAATGCACGGTAACATTGTTTGAACCTTCAAATTTTTAATCCTCTTATTCCAAAGGTCATTATCATTCAAATTTGAAATAGAATTTCCTAATTTGATGGATAACATTTGAATATCCACTTCAATCCAAATCATCAAGTTTTCTTCATTTTTTGTTTATATAAGTAGTTCACATGTCATCATCAAGATGTTCATTTTTAAATTTGAATATATCATTTTTCTCATTTTATTGATGATTTAATATACACAAAAAAATTCCTCATTTTTATACTTAAAAAATCATTGAGAAATTTATTCAAGTATATAATATTGATATAGTATCATGAAGATCAAATATTTGTTCAATTTGATCATAACGAGAAGATATATTTAAACAAGAAATTTAGAATGTCACTCACATATAAAAACTTCAATATTCATCGTTCAGCATAGTCATGATCTATCCCTTAATGAGTGCTCTCCTTAAATCCATGTATTCATTCAATTTTATTAGTGTAAAATTTTCTCCTCCTTTTTATAGGTTCAAAAAGATTGAAAAGAATCAATGATGAGAAAATCTACATGTGATTAAAAATCAACGGAAAAAATTAATGTATGAGACATTTTCTTTAATTTCCAACAGCCCTTCTTCTAATAACTTGATTCATTGCTTTAAACAATCAATGTTTTATTGAACTTCTCAACAAAAGGTAAATGATCTCAAGGGTGAGAGTATAGGAGGTAGAAGATAAGAAAGTAGTGGAGGTAGATGGCCAATTGATCTACTAATCATCGTTCAAGATGTAATACATAAGTAGGAAAGTGGATTTGTATGGGGTAACAGCTAAATAATTCTTCCTCAGAAAAGTTTATGTGAACATGTATAAGACTATGTGATGATGATTCCTAGTGGTAGTATCATATTATATTTAATGACAGTTTTCATATGATCTAAAAATATTAGACACAAAAGTTGACAGAAATATCTTCTAAAATATAATGAAGTAAGAATGTGGAATTCTCTAAAATCCTATCATGAGCACCACTCTTGTGTAAGAATAAATAACTAATAATGAAATACAAATGTCTACATGACAAGGAAAGGTGGACAAATTTAGTATTGTACACATTTGTATTTGACATCTCGATTAAGGAAATAAGAAATGTGTTGACTATCAGTATCTAAACCATTAATTCAAGGTCAGAGGGGATTTTAAGGATAGAATTTAGTTTTTCAACAGTAAAACTAAATTATTTTCTTTTAAAAAAATCATGATATAATAGAATGAGTTTGGAAACAAGATGTCTAATTTCAACAACATCAAAATTGATTTTTAGACTGATTTTTTACATATCAAAAAGGTTAAACTAATGAAAGTAGTAAAGTTGCATTTAAGTACTTTTTGATTCTTAAATGATGTCTAAAATTTTATCTCAAAATCAATAGATAGGAAATAAGCTTTGGACAGTTTATGAGATGATGGTTTAGTGGATGGATGAACATCGCCAATCACTGCTGGTTCAAGTTCAATGTTTTTAGGTGAGAGACTCAAGCTAATCATCATATAAGTCTAAGGTGACAAAGAATAAATGTGTTTTAACCTTTATCAAGAGAGGAGACAGCATAATTGACGAAAGTTGTTCTTTCGAGTGTGACAACATAAGGAAAAGTGATGAGGACTTCAGCAAGCATAATTTTGATGTTGGTCATGGGAGGCCTTAAAATGTGAGGGTCATTTTAGACTTAAATTTTAAACTTGAGCATTGGATTAGAAATATGTTACTATTCAAAGTTGGTGGAAGGATAATCTTCTTCAAGAGATTAATCAATAATTATTTCCTCTGTCTTTATCCTTCTTGGAAATGTTTAGACATTTGTGAATATTTGAGGGTTTGACAAAAAAACGTAGATTGACAAGTATTAACCATTGCTGGTTTTAGGGTATACGAAAAAGAGAAATTGACCAAAATGTGATGTAAATGTGTAAATATATGAAATTATACTTAATTTCCATTGTAAAAGAAGAACTAGTGTAACTTGATTTCAACTTCACTCGAATGATTCTTGGGTTGATCTTGATCGAAGAAGGAAAATGGGTTTTTTGGAGTGGGCAGGAAAAAGAACATGATGGCTTGAATGAGTTCGAAATATATACCTTTTGACCCTTTTATCGAAGGAGGGTAAATACAAAATATTTATTGTTCTAAATTATAAAGCAACATTTAA